GGAATTTAAAGGGAGTTTCCTGTGGCTGTTGGAGCAAATGACCACAAACGTCGTGGCTGAAACTGCACACATTTATTATCTCACGTCCTGAAGGTCAGAAGTCAGAGCAGGAGGCAGAGTCGGGCGGGGGGGGGGGGGGGGGGGGGGGGAGGGGCGGGCAGGGTGAGACTCCCACCCCCACACCTTTCAGGGGCCGCCCATCACCTGGAGCTGGGCCGCTCTGGTTTATCGTCTGCTGCTCTCTGCCAGTCTGAGGCCCAGCAACCGGGCACAAACTCTGCCGTCCCCCCTGCCGGCCACACCCGGCCGGTGCTGGCCCAACGCCCCCCAGAGCAGGCGCGTTTGGGATGGAGCCATCTCCCGGGGGTCGGGACCACCCTGCCGCTTTCCCCCACCGGGACCCGGCTGGCGGCTGTACCCACCCCCGGTGCCACTGGGGCCTCTCGGCACGACCCCCGGGACCCCCGCACACATCCCCCAAGCCGGACTCGGAATCGGAAGGAACGCCGGGGCCGGGCGGGACCGCGAAACCACTGCCGATTGTGGGGTCTGCAGCGCCCCCGAGGTGAGCCCCTCCCTGAGTTCGTGCGCTGGCCTCCCGGCTTTGCCCAGTCTGCGAAATGTCAGCACAGGGTGAGGCGGCTGCTGGAAAACAAAAGTCAGTCTCTGCACCGACAACGTCTGAGGCTGGATCCCGGGAGGGAAGAGCTCCCTGAGCCCAGCAAGGTCAGGCTATATGGGGGGACACATGTATGCCCCCATCCCTCCCTGGGTTACTGAGGCCAGACACAGAGGGTCCCTTCCCAACATCTCCCCAAGGTGACCTTATGAGGGAAGTTACCGTCCCCACTTCATGGATGAGGAAACTGAGACTCAGTGGGGGCGTCCTGGCCTGTCCTGAGTCCCAGCTAGGAGCCCGGACTCGGGCCCCCGGACAGAAAGCTCCACGAGGCAAGGACCTGTGTGCTCACGTACGGACGTGTCCCTTCCAGCAGCCCGGAGCCAGGGCGGAGGGGACACTCAGGAACACCTAATCCTGGACAGGGGATCAACTTCGCCCAGACCCAGGGCCACCGGGGAGAGCTCCTCCCAAGGGTGAAACCTGATGTTCCAGGAGACATCAATGACCCCAGTGGAGGACCGTTCCCTAAAACAACTGGCCCAGAGTCCACAACAACGTCAGAATCGAGCCAGCCAAAGACAGCAGGTGAGCCTGGATCGGATCCTGGAGCAGGAGAAAATGATGTTTGCTTCTTCACGAGAATGACTTTACCGGGACAAGTGTGAATTCTGAACAAAGTCTGTAGATGAGATAATAGAATATACTACTGTGTAAGTGGCGATCACTTCCTGATTTTGCCATCTGTTCTGTGGCCACGTAAGAGGCCGGTCGTGCTCTTAGGAAACACACACGCAGGGTCTGGGTCCGAAGGGGCGTCGGGTCCACAACTCGCTGTCCGGTGGTTCAGAAAATAAACTACACGGAAAGAGGGAGAGAGGGCGATAGGACAAACTCAGAAAAATGTTCACAACCGGGGAGTCTGGGTGAAAGAGTTCTTGCGTTATTTCTGTACGACTGAAGTTATTTCAAAATAACAAGTTGCAAAATAGAAAAGTCAGTATCCTGGAAGAAAAAGAAAAAAAGGCCGAGGTGTGACACTTCCCACTCGAAGGAGACGAAGAATCGGGCAGGGATCGCAGCCCCTCCTGAGTCGGCAGGGACCCACGTGCGCCAATGGGGGACGCGTGAGTTTCCGGACAGGGAATCGTCCGTGCTAATTTCCTGGCTGTGACAGTCCCAGGAGGTCCTCCTAGGAGAACGTCCTTGCTCTCTGCGGGCCCACACTGGATTCCGGGCAGAGGGTCAGGAGGTCTGCGTCCCTCCCTGTCCCCTCGCTGTTCTCCCTCTGGCCGCAAGATGTCTCTAGGTGGCCCTACGACAAGGTGGTTTCCGTTTTTCAAGGTTCCTAAAAGCCTCAAACGTCGCCCTTCCTCCCCCACCCGTGCTTTCTGCCATCTGGGCTCAGGCCGTGCTTTCTTGCGTGTGCTTCCTGCCCTGTGTTTCCAGGTCCCCGGGCCGCTCTGCCCGCGCCTCCAGGGAGGTGCCCATTAGGGGGTCTCTGCTGCCCTCCTGTGGCCACTGTCTGCAACACAGACGCCCGTCCCCAGCGCCCGAACCCCGACCCGGTTCCTGTAGCTTCTCTTCATCCTAGAAGACCTGGGGTCTCCAGGGAAACAGAACCAGGCGGGGAGATGACAGACTTATCGTAAGGGCTTGGCTCGTGGGGTCGTGAGGGCTGACAAGTCCAAAATCCAGTCTGGCTCAAAAGGCCTGCGACTGATTGCGTGAGGCCCACCCAGGGCACGGAGGACGACCTCCCGCACAGAAAGTCAGCCAATGGTGGGCGCTGACCACAGCCACCAGACGCCTTCCCGGGGACCCCTGCACCCGAGCCTGACGGAACTACTGGAAACCCTGAGGGCTAGGCGGTCGACCCAGGAATCCAACCCCAGGACTCGGTTGCCTGAAAAGCTGACATTAAAAAAAATTTTTTATGTTTATTCATCTTTCGGAGAGAAACAAGGCACAAGCAGGGGAGGGGCAGAGAGAGAGGGAGACACAGAATCCGAAGCAGGCTCCAGGCTCTGAGCCGTCAGCACAGAGGCCGACGCGGGGCTCAGACCCACGAATGGTGAGATCATGACCTGAGCCAAAGTCTGACACTTAACCGACTGAGCCACTCAGGCTCCCCAAATTCCGTCTCCCATTATGTTGTCCTGCTGATGTCCAACGCCTTTTTTTTTAAGTTTGTTTACTTTGAGAGAGAGAGAGAGAGAGAACGTGAGCAGGAGAGGGGCAGAGAGAGGGACAGAGAGAATCCCAGGCAGGGCCCAAGCTGTCAGTGCAGAGCCCAATGTCAGGTTTGATCGCACGAACCGTGAGATCATGGCCTGAACCGAAATCAAGAGCCAGACGCTCAGCCGACTCGGCCTCCCGGGTGCCCCTCCAACTCCTGCTTTTTAAAAGAAAACCCACCCTGTGGGAGGAGACAGTCTGTTACGGCTTCTGAGTGAGTCAGGAGCGAGTGTGACCGGCCACACAGGGCTCCCCGGGTCTGGCTATCACGGGGATTATCTGCATGAGTCCTTAATGAAGAAGCTGGAGAGAGACAGAAAGACAGAGACAGAGGGGGGGCAGGGGGAGGGAGAGAGAGGGAAGGGGGGAGGGAGGGACACACAAGGAGGTCTGGACGCTGCTGGCAGGGGACACGGCTGAGGAAGGGCACCAGGTTTAGTGACCACAACGAGGCAGTGGCTGGAAAGGCGAGAGGGAGGGACAGAAACAGAGGCCACTTGTTCTCCAAAGTTCTACTAAGCGGGAGCAGACGAGAGGAGGGCTGGGGAAGTCAGTGGGGAGAGCTTCTCCCAGGAAGAGGAGAGGCGAAGAGAGGCGCACTCATGTGCAGCCGGCGGGAAGGAGAGCCGAGGGACAAGGACCCAGAGCGGGGATGCTCCTTTGGCCAAGGACCCGAGAAGGTGCCGGGGACGGGACCCAGAACCCCCGGGCCAAAGGGGCCTCCTCCACTGCGGGCACCTCTCGACCTGGACGAGACTCGCAGCCGGGCCTGCTCAGGAGGGGACTAACCGTCCAAAGGGATAATCAAAAGTGTAGGGCGCAGGTGTAAGGTCAGAGGACCAGGACAGCAGGCAGGTCACCGGCCCCCAGTGGAGGTCTGTCCTATTGCGCGGAGGCCAGAGGTTCAAAGTCAAGGTGCGGGCAGGGCCGAGCTCCCTCCGAGGGCGCCAGGGGACGGTCTGGAGCCTTGTCCAGCTCCGGTCTTGCCAGCGGTCCCTGGCCAGTGGCCACATCCCTCCAGTCTCAGCCCCTGGGTCACACGGCCGTGTCCCCATGTCTCTGCCTTCTCTTCTTACGAGGACACCAGTCACTGGACTAGAGCTTACCCTACCCCAGCGACCCCTGTCGCTAATTATATCTGCAAAGACCCTCTTTCCCAATAAGGCCACTTTCAGAGGTTCTGGGTGGACATTTGGAGGAGACGTTATTCAACTCAGTGCAGCCCCCACGAGCGAAGGGAGCCAAGGATGTGAGAGGGAGCCGATCAGGTGCCCAGCTTCGTACAGGGAAGAGTCGCGTGATGGCCGGCAGAGCCTAGGCGTGCGGGTCGCAGGAGGCGGTGGGTCCCACGTGGATCTACGCAGGAGGAAGCTGAGACTTCCTCCCGTGCTCAGGGTCCACGGGAACACAGGGTAGGGAGGGGGCAGGCAGCAGCCACGGGGGAGCCGTCACCACCTCGGGGGTCCGGCCCCTGCCCTGTCCCTTTACCCTCACACCAGAGACTTCTATTTAAAAAAAAAAAAAAATTTAATGTTTATTTTTGAGAGAGAGAGAGAGAGAGAGAAAGCAGGGAAGGGGCAGAGAGAGAGGGAGACACAGAATAGGAAGCAGGTTCCAGGCTCTGAGCTGTCAGCACAGAGCCCCACGCGGGGCTCGAACTCACGGACCGCGAGATCATGACCTCAGCTGAAGTCGGACGCTTCACAACTAAGCCCCCCAGGCGCCCCCAGACTTCTTTCTTCTAAGCGTGGGCAAGGCAAGGAGGTATTGTCAGGGTGGCATTTTACAGAGGCAGTGAGCCCAAGGTCACACAGTAGGGCTGGGGGCCGGGGTCTGAGCCTGTGTTCAGCCGACTCTTAAAGTCCCTGCTTTTATAGGTGCTTTTGAAAAAACGCTCTCCACTGTGGAAACCTCCAGACAGGCAAGACGAACACGGTCGTCTGGGGAGTCCCGCAGCGGCGACAGGTGCCAACGTTCTGCCCTGTGTTGGCCCCGCACCTGCCCCTCTTCTCACCCGGCCTCTGATACTGTTGCCACTTGGATACTTCCTTTCTGTAGGTAAAACGTATATGCCCTGAAACGAACAAACCTTACAATTAGTACCTGTTGTAAGTCAGTACAATTTTCTAGGTGGCCTGGGGTTTTCTTCTTGTGTCTTTATTTTCTCGCTTTTCTAACGATGGGCTGGTACTGTTTTTATAATAAGGGGGAAAATAATGAAACGGTGATTGAAACGTTACAGGAGTTCCTTTGGGCTGGTGTCCTATCCCCTCCATTCAGCGACAAGGCACCGGGACCCCCCCCCCCCAGGCCGACTGTGTTTTCCCACACACCCCTCTTGAGCAACCGGGTCTCCTAGGACCCTGCCGGCCACTCCCAGAAATTTGGGGAAGGCTGGGTGGCCACCCCTCGTGGCTAGGAAGGGCCCTGGGCCAGCCGGGGCTGAGGCACAGCAAGCTGCCCTAACTCCGGTCCCTGCTGCCTCCCGGGGAACCCCCACCTTCAGACGAGGAGTGGGGGCTCCCTGGGACGCCTCCCCCCAGCTGATGCGAGGCTGGGCAGGGCTGGCCCGGGGACAGGTTGCCGGGCAAGCAGCTGGGGCTCCTCCCAGGGTAGCTGCGGGAGGCCACGTTGCCCGGCGACCAGGCGGCAGCGTCCTTTGAGCCGAGACGGCGCAGCTGCGCCCAGCCCTGCCGGCTTTCCCCAGGGACCCCCGGGGCCCTGTCCCTATTCCCTTAGCCCAGAACAGCTGGTGCCTCTGGTCACAATGAGCGTCGTTCTCTCCAGGTGAGCGGCTCTGCGCCGGCCTTGGCCGGGAGGGAGGGGGCAGCAGGGCTCGGGGGCCTGATGCACAAGAGGGATGGGGGCGGCCAGGACTGCTGAGGGCGGGCAGCGGTAAGGGGCGCTCTCCCTCCCACACGACCCCACCTCAAGGTCAGGGGAAGACGGGGCTCCAGACCGGGGAGGCTTCCAGAAGCTGACCTCTGCTTCTCCAGCATTACTGTCCACAGCTCCGGGGAAGCCAAATTCGCAGGGTCCAAGCCCTCTCTCCCTCACCCACGTCCACTTGGAAAATCTCCCTTCGAGCCTCAGAGCCCAGCAGACAGCATCCCCCTGTGGGGTCGCCCCTGACCGCACTCCTCTGGCCAGATTCCACTGATGCTCTCCTACAGCTCGCCTGCCCCTTACCCATTCGTTTTGATGCCTGGTTGCTCTGAGGGTCACACACTCCAGGCTGCCTCGGGACCACCCAGTGAACTTCTTTAAAAACGCAGCCCCGTTAATAACGGGGGAACCCGTGTGGAAACAAGGGAACTCACTACACTTTCCACTTCGTTTTCCTGCAAACCTGAAACTGGCCCCCTAAAAAGGTTTATTCTTTTTTTAATGTTTATTTTTGAGAGAGAGAGAGAGAGAGAGACAGAGCACGAGGAGGGGAGGAGCAGAGAGAGAGAGGGAGACACAGACTCAGAAGCAGGCTCCAGGCTCCGAGCCGTCAGCCCAGAGCTGGACACGGGGCTCGAACTCATGAACCGTGAGATCATGACCTGAGCCAAAGTCAGACGCTCAACCGACTGAGCCACCCAGGCGCACCTGAAGTTTATTCATTTTTAAAAAAACAAAAACCTTCAGGGTTCGGAGAGAGGAGAGAATTTCCACAGCTGGGGGGGAAAGGCAAACTCGGGGGATTTGGAGGAAGAGGCCATCGCGGCTAGGAAGAGAAGAAGAACAACTCTGCCAGGAATAGGAAAGCCCCACTCAGGGTCCCAGGGAGGGTAAGACTGGATTTGGAGCCAAAGCAGCCTTTGCATTCCTGCCGGCCGTTTGACCAGCCCTGCCGCCTGGCCGGTCGCCCGAATCCGCCTCGATGGGACCGGGAGGGAGGGACCAGGCGTCTGACCGGGCGCAGGGTGACAGGCGGGCGACCCTGCGTGGCTGTCCCGACCGGGGCCCAGAACGGCCTCTCGGGCCCCACCTCCCCAGGGACAGCCAGGTGAGGGTGATGGAGGACACGGTGACCAACGCCGAGAAGCACTTGGGCCAGTTCTGCTCGATGCTGGCTGCCTACGCCCGCAAGACGGCCCAGGTGCGGGACAAGGCCGACCGGCTGGTCAAACAGCTCACCGACTTCGCCAACACCGAGCACCCCGAGACGCGGGCCACCTTGAGGAGCTTCGCCGAGGACCTGGCCAAAGTCCAGGATTACCGGCAGGCCGAGGTAGGCGGGGTGGCCCCGGGGGGATCCCTCGCGGGGGGTCAGGTCTGAGGGCCGAAGCCCTGCGATGCTTCTGAAAAGGTTTACATACGTCCCAAAGGGACAGAGAAAGGTTTTCTAAAAAGAAAATGCTGGAAGGAAAGCGAGGAGGAAAGTCCCTTTGCCTTTGGACTCCTGGGAAAACATATATATCTTTTCTTCTAGATTTGTGTTTATCCCACAGGATAAGGAAAAGGAACGGGCACGGGGGGATTCTCAGATGGGACTCCCATCCGGCAGGCCAACTTTTCAGGCCACTGGGCGTCAAGGCTTCGGCCTCACCCGGGAATTTGCTAGAAACGCAGGTTCCTGGGCCTCACTGGGAACCTGCCGAGTCGGCACCCCTGGGGGCGGTGCCTGGCAATCGGGGTCTTAGGGAGCCTGGGGGGGAAGGGGTCGGGGGACTCCTTCACCTGGCAGTTGGGCACCGACCCGGGGCCGTGAGGCATCCACCCCAGGACCATGCTGCGCCCTCGGGGGCTGTGCGGCGCACTGGCTCAGTCGGGTCTGAATCCCCTGCTCTCCTGGGCTCCCCGCGTGACATCGCGAGAGGCACGGGTCCCAACGAACTGCCCCGAAACCCTCAGTGGGCACAGTCGTTATACCCATTTCACGGGTGAGGAAACAAGGCTCGTGGGATGAAATGTGCAGCCGGAGCCTTTGGGAGGTCGAGCCCTGAGCTCAGGCGGCGCTCACAACCCTAAGGGACGAGGGACCGCGTCCCGGGCGTCCACAGCCCCCCACGGGCTCCTGCCACGCGCCCACCCACCGGTGTGCCCGTGGCGCTCTATCCGTGCAGCCGCCAAGCCTCCCCGGTTCTGTCCGCTCGGACTCTCTGCCTGTCCACACTCCCCCAGGTCGAGAGGCTGGAGACCAAGGTCATCAGCCCCCTGAAACTCTACGGGGCCCACATCAAGCAGACGCGGGTAAGCGGGGGGGCGGGGGGGGGGGCACTGCCCGACCGGGAGTGGCCCATCTGGACATGCAAGACACAGCCCTCCTCCCTCCTTTAGGCCGAGATCAAGAAGCTAAAGCAAGTCCAGAAGAACGAGATCAAGCAACTGGCAAAGCTGGGGAAACTGAGGCAGAAGTCACCATCGGATCGGCTAACCATTGTATCCTTCCCTGGGCCGTGGGCCCGAGGCTGCCAGGCCACACGGGGCGTCGGTCGCAGGCGTCCTCTGGGCAGGGGCTGCCGACTCACCTGGCTCCTTAACAGCACCCTCCCCAGTCCCAGGTGAGTGCCCCGCGTGTGTCTGGGCAAGGCCGAGCCCCGTGCAGGTGACGGACGACCTCCCCAGAGAGCCAGGTGAACCTTGACCTGCGCGGGTGCGTGCACAGCCCTGGGCTCAGGATGCGAGTCAGAGGTGCGGGGCCAGCAGCGGGCTGGGGGCACTTCTAACTTGTAGCCCCACTGCCATCATCTAGATGAGGAAGCCGAGGCCGAAAGACACGACCTGCCTTAGATCACACCAGGGAGGTAAGGGGCAGGCGTGGAGCTCCACTCCGAGGGTGCCTGGCACCAACACCCAGGTCTGCAAGTGCCCGGCGTGGGACCGGGTCATACGAATTAGCTAATTACCTAAAGAACGTTCCACGTGCGGGAATTAATTATCATCGACACCTGTTACGATAGTTCGGCAGGTGCCCCCCGTTTATTGCAAAGCCGCTGTGATCACCGTCCCCCATTACAGGCAGAGAAAGTGAGGCTCAGAGAGGTTTAGCGACTTGCCCGGGGTCACGCAGCTAGTCAGCAGGTCTGTCCGAGCAGCGCCTGCCCCTTTCACCACGGTCGCACTCGGCCTTTCCTCCGATGACCAAATTGGCGAGAGGCGTCCATGAGGCAGGGAGCTGACCCAGAGGAAGACCTGAAAATGATCCAGAATAGTCCAAAGGCCAGAACCACCCCGTGACACTTCCTACCTCCGGAGCCAGGCAGAGACCAGCGTGCAGAGGGCCTCGGCGGATGCCAGCCACACCACCCACCAGCTGGGGGAGATGATTGAAGCCTTCCAGAAGCGGAAGCTGACGGATCTTCAGGTAGCGGTGGTCGCCCGGCGGTAGACATGCTCTGGCCTCTAGGAGTGTGTGTGTGTGTGTGTGTGTGTGTGTGTGTGTGTGTGAGCCCGTGCATGTCTGCGGGCGTGTGCGTGTGCACGTGTGTGTGAGCGCGGATGCGTGTACGTGAGCCCAGACGGCTCTCAGAGCCCCGGCTCCCAGGACGATTGATCCTGGCCTGATCTAGCCGCTCAGCGCTCACAGCCCCGCCTCTGAGCACCCAGGCCCGGCTCCCCGCCGGGCCGGTTTGGCAGACTCCGTCCCCCCAACCCCCTCCTCGCCACGGAGGGACCCGCAGCCTCCGCCCTCACTCCCTCCTCCTTTCCTCACCCTCCGCCGGGCCAGCCATGGTTAGGCGCAGGGGGCGGGGCACGGGAGCTTCCTCCTCACGCACCCCTGCCGCCGGCACTGCAACCCAGACTCCTGGGCCCAGAGCCCTGGCTGGTCACAGAGGTCCCTGCACCCACTCTCGATCCCCCCATCCAGTCCATTTCCCAAGTTGCAGCCCCGGGGACCTCACAAAAGGCAGCTGTAACTTGTCACGCCTGGGTTTAATGCCCTCCCACAGCTTCCCTGATTCTAAAGATAAAGGCGGAAATCCTCCCCAAGCCTCCGGAAGCCCCAGCCCAGCCTTATCTTGGATGCATCACTCCAAGCTCAAGGGCGCCAAACCCCCGACGCGCCCCAGTGCCTTTGCCCCTCTGCCAGGAAAGCTTAGCCCTTACTCTGCATCAAGGTGACACCCCCTCATCTCCAGGGAAACTCACCTGGACCCCCAGCCCAGTCCGGCCCTGACATTGATTCACTGCTCTGCTCCCTCTGGGGTCAGTTATCCCGGGGCATGGTGGATAGGTTAAGTGTATTTTTAATTCCCTCATTAATCCAACACATGTTAAATACACACCTACTACGTGCCAGGCGCTGTGCCTGGTGCCGGGACACCATAGCCAGAAAAGGAAGGCCCCTGTCCTCATGAGGTTGCCACCCTGGGAAGACCCATGACGTACGCCATTCGTTAGGGAGCGGAGAGCGTGGGGGGCGACTCGCTGTTCCATGCCCGCCCCCCGACGCTGTGCGCCACAGGGCACACACACGTGGGGCACGGCACGGCGCCTGGCTGTCGTGTCCCCCTGCCGGGTCCCTGCACAGGGTCCAGGGCCTGGCACTTAGCGGTACTCAGTGAACGTTTGGGAGACGAACGAACAAATAACGCACAAGCGGGAGCGGTGATGGTCGCTGGTGCTCCGCCTCTGTGCGGCAGGCAGGACTCAAAGTCACCAGCAGGCCACCATCAGGCATCTGCTGCTTATGAGGCCCGCGGGGTGCCAGCAAGAGTTGAGCACAAGTGGCTTGGGCTCCACAGTTAGGGGCCAACAAACGCACGCAGTTGAAAGTCGGCATCCTTTGAACTTTTGGGATTAAGTTTGTAAGAGGCACTTATCCAGACCATCCCCTAAAAAGCGCTCCCAGTTCCGCAAGAGAAAAACAAGAAACAAACAAACAAACAAAAAACCCTCAGAACTGGAAAGAATGATCACCACTGTATCAGGGTTAGGTCACGTTTCTGTGTATACGATGATCCCAGTGACAAAAGAGCTCTCTGGCTCCTGTGAGAGCATGTGAGTGATGCTTTTGTCCGGGGGTCCACACCGCTGGGCGTGCGTCAGAAATCTGGAGGGCTGCCTCAAACGCAGATCACCCGGTGACCGGCCCACCCTGGTTGGGCTGCAGAGTCCGCATTTCTGACCAAGTCCCCGGTGGAGCTGGTGGTGATTCGGGGACACGGACGCAACTGCTATACTGACTCACGGGGCTTGGTGAATTGGGACCACACGTGTCCCTACCGTGCAGATGAAGTCACTGAGGGTCAGAGAGGCCACACGCCAGTAAGTGGCAGAAGGTGACCACCAGGCCAGCCTCCCAGGGGCAGAAGGAAGGAGACGGGACGCACGTATCCCCATCACCGCCTTGGCCCCTCTCCCCTCCTGTGCTCGCTTGGGGACTTCCTCTGAGCCTGTCCCCCCCAGCAGGCACTGCAATGTTTGTGTGATGTGGTGTGTTTCCAAACTGCCCACTCCCCCCCCCAACACCGAGCCCGTGTCCTGCTGGGGCCCAAAGCAGAGTAGGAGCCTCTCCTCCTAAGCTGACGCACAGTAGGAGCTTATGTGAGGCCTGGCACACAGGAGGCGCTTATGTGAGGCCTGGCACACAGTAGGAGCTTATGTGAGTCCTGGCACACAGGAGGAGCTTATGTGAAGCCTGGCACACAGTAGGAGCCCCCACTGGGGCTGGGCATGCAGTGGGAACTCCGTTAGAACTTGCTGAGCTGAGCCGAACCATCTGATCTAGAGAAATCAATATCTCTATCACAAAATTACATTTTGGCGAGCTGGCTCGTCAGGTTGTGAGGTCTCTCCCGGAAGATCCACTCACGGCCTGTGGGTGACAGAGGCCAAAGGTTTTGTAGCCATCAAGCTGCAAACACCTGTCCTCAGAAGCAAAGGCTGTGCAGATGAGCCCAGGTGACAGGGCAGAGCAAAGCGTGTCCCTTAGAGAGTCACCAAGAAACACGCCCTCTGCATTTCCGGAACAATTCCTGGGCGAGGCAGCTTTTGAATGGGAACGTATTATCTGTTCCGCAAAAACAAAAGTAACGTTGGCCTTGGACCTGCCCCATAAGGGCAAGTAACAGTCCCCCCCCCCCCTGCGGCCCGCCCCCCCCCCCCCCCCCTCAAGATGGCCCCAGGGCTTTGAGAATGTGGTTTATGTGATTCCGCCTGCTCTCCCCACAGAAAATTTTTTCAGACTTTGTCACTATTGAGATGGTCTTACATGCCAAAGCGGTGGAGGTATATTCCAGCGCCTTCCAGACCCTGGAGAACTACGACCCGGAGAGAGACCTTGAGGTACACATCACAAATGCTCCATTTTCTATCTGATGGTGTGGAGCTGAATTTGATTTTCAGTTGTCTCGATTCAGAAGCAGTTTTCATTGGCAACGTTTTGCAATGGTTATAATTTTGAAGACTCACTCTGATGAATCCTGGGTTGCCTGGGTGGCTCGGTCGTTGGTTAAGCGTCTGATTTCGGCTCAGGCCACGATCTCATGGCTTCATGGGCTCGAGCCCTGCGTTGGGCTCTGTGCTGATAGCATGGGCCCTGCTTGGGGTTCTCTCCTTCCCTCTCTCTCTGCCCCTCCCCCTGCTCAGCACACTATCCCTCTCTCTCTCTCAAAAATAAACGAATAAGATTTAAAAAAATTAAAAAAAATTTTTTAAATGTTTTATTCATTTTCTGAGAGAGGGAGAGAGCACAGGGGAGGGACAGAGAGAGAGAGAGGGAGACATAGAATCCGAAGCAGGCTCCACGGCCCGGAGCCTGATGTGGAGCTCGAACTCATGAACTACAAGAGAACTCATGAACCATTTAACTGACTGAGCCGCCCAGGCGCCCCTGACAAAAATTTTTTTAAACAAACACACAAGGGGTGCCTGGGTGGCTCGGTCAGTTGAATGTCTGACTTGATTTTGACTCAGGTCATGATCTCACAGTTGTGAGATTGGGCCCCACCTCAAATTCTGCTCCGACAGCACGGGGCCTGCTTGAGATTCTCTCTCTCTCCCTCCCCTACTCATTCCCTCTCTTTCAAGATAAACAATAAATAAAATTAAAAAAAAATAAAAAAACAGACACATGAATCAACAACGACAAAGAGCATCCCAGGCTGACGCCTGCCGTAGTTTGGATGCAGACAAAATGCGCATTATCCCTATCTGATCTGATGGAAATCAAGAGCAGACTTATCTAGAAAACACCAGACCACACCCAGTGCTGGAAAAAACGGCTACCACTTGCTGTGATTATCTTCTGTGGGCTCAGCTGGACGGTCTCGGGCGGGTCTTTCCCGGGTTTTCAGTCAGTTGGTAGCTGGGGCCGGAGTCACCTCAAAGGCTTCCGCACCGTATCTGGCGGATGATGGCTATTATCCGGGTACAGGACAGGCCTCTTGGTTTGCAGAGCTCAGTGCAGAATGAAACCGTGGGCCCTTCGTTCAACAATTATTAAGCGTTTCAAGGGGCGCCCGGGTGGCTCAGTCAGCATAGCATCCGACTTCGGCTCGGGTCACGATCTCGTGGTTCGTGGGTTTGAGCCCCGCGTCGGGCTCTGTGCTGACGCCTCGGAGCCTGGGGCCTGCTTCGGGTTCTGGGTCTCCCTCTCGCTCTCTGCCCCTCCCCCGCTAGTGCTCTGTCTCTGTCTCTCAAAAATGAATAAAAACGTTAAAAATTAAAAAAAAAAAAAAAAGAATTTCAAGACGGTGACAGCAGCGTGTCAGACGGAACATAGGGTTCTTCCGCGCTCGGGGCCCAGGGCTACGGCCTGAGCCGCATGCCGCAAAGCCCGACCCGCCTGCGTCCTCAGTGGGGCCTGCAGCCCGCATGCCTACCCTGCCCGCGGCCTCTCCAGGAGGCCTGGCAGCGGGTCGGAAGCGAGCATCCCGTGACAGAGGCAGGCGGAATAGGTACCACCTTTCACGTGTCACTCCTGCCACAGTCTATTTGTTGGACGTGAGTCCGTCACTGAGGACACATTCAACGGGAGGAGAATCCTATCCCGGCTCCCGATGGGTGATGGGTCAAGGAATTTGTGGGAAGCTTGGAAACCACCATACGAGGTTATATGCAGACTGAACGGGCTCGGGTAACTTCGCTCACCTCTGTGACATTCTTCTAGGGGAAAGAGCAATCTCTCATTTCCTGTGTGACTACCTGGCCTCTCTGGGCCTCAGTGTCCCCATCTGTAAAATGGGGTGGTAGGACTACTGTAGATTACGGCACGGGTGGGGGTGGTGCCAGCCGTGCACCTTCTCCCCACCCCCACCCCCACCCATCCCGGTCTCTCCCGGCAGGATTTTCGAGCCAAGATGCACGGGCTCTCCGGACATCGCGATGCTCGGCCACTCACGGACACCGTCTTCTCCCCGGCTGTCCCGTGGTCTCTCACTGGCCAGGTGAGCGCTGGGGGTGGGGCCGTCAATCCCGCGACAAAGGGGAGGCCGTCTGAGAACGGGGGTCTGCGGGAGATCCTGAGAAGGCGGCACAGCTTGGGGAGCGTGCAGCCCTCCCCCGGGGTCGGGCCTGGACCGGCCTGGAAGTGAAATCACATCAACACATAAACCGGCCCTGTGCCGCCGGCGCCTGTCCTGAGTGCCCCCGAGAGGCGTCCTGAAGCGTGGCAGCTCGAGAGGCGAGGGCCCTGCACGGGTGGCTCCTGTGCCCTGGGGCCCATGGGTGTCAGAAGCCTGAATTTCTCAGATTTGAGGGAAGTCATAAGGTACCTATACTCCAGGGCACCCAACAAGCACGGCAAAGCACATTTCTGGTTCTACAGGACAACCCCTCCGTGCTCACCCGAGTAACATAAAAGAGCAGCCTGGTACCAATCGGGGTAGGGTTAGTCACCCCGTGGGTGGGGGACAAGGGGGGGCCGCGTCCCACAGTCGAGGGGGCAGGGAGCGTCTCGTGGCTTTCTGACTAATTCTAACGGCAGTGAAGCAAGGAAGTACGGCCCCGGCTACTTGGGCCCAAACTCACTGCGCCCAAGCTGTGTGACCTCAGGACAGGTCCTTAACCTTTCTGTGCTTTAGATGCCTCGCCTGCAAAGCAGGGCGAATAGCAGTATCCCCCTGTGGGATCGTGGGGAGCGTCAGGCGAACAAACCTGCACAAAGCTCCTTAGAAAGGGCTCAGTACTTGTCCCTGGCCTCGTCATTCCCGCTTGTTATCATTTAGAGCGCTCAGACCGCCCTACGGGGCGAGAGAAGAGAAGACGAGGAGACCACGGAAGCCTCTGCCGAGGAAGACCTCAGAGGACGGGGGCGGGCGCTCCATCAATAGCACCAGAACTCCCCAGTCGGGAAAACGGGGGCTCTGGGTAAGGCCTGTGTCCTCTGAGCCTCAGTTTCCTCATCTGCACAACGGGGCAATCTCGCCGACCTCAGACGTCACTCTGGGGATCGCTGTGCCCAGCACGGTGCCGGGTATGGAGCAGGTGCTCAATAAACGTGGGGTGCCCCTTAACCTGAATCGTGCTGGGTCTCCTTTCCCCCCTTGTGACCCCGGGGACTCGGGTGTTTACACCCGAGAGCGCGGCGGATTGGCCTCCAGGGCTGCGGTCACAGAGCGCCACAAACTCGGGGCTCACACAACAGGAATTTACTCTCTCGAGGCTCCAGAGGCCTGAAGTCGAGAGCCAGGGGCGGGCAGGGTGGGCTCCAGGCCTCTCCCCCAGCCTCTGGGGGCCGCTGGCCATCTCTGGGGTCCCTTGGCTTATACACGGCACCCTGACCTTTGTCTCCACCCTCACGTGGCCTTCTCCCTGCGTGTGTGTGTGTGTGGATCTGTGTCCAAACTCCCTCTTTTTGTAAAGACACCAGTCTTACCGGCACAGGGATCCACCTACCCAGCGTGACCTCATCCTAACTAATTATATCTACAAAGACGCTATGTCCAAATAAGGCCACATTCTGAGGCACTGGGAGTCAGCATTTCCACATACGGGTCTGCGGGGCCACGAGTCACCCCTGACACGGGGACACGATGCGCAGGGATGCCCCTGGGAGCCAGGGACTCATCACAGAAGACAAGGGAGGTGGAGGGTGGCAAAGGTGAGGAAGGGAGTGAGCCCCATGATTCTCTCATCAACAAAGTGGGGGACAGAAGACTTTCAAGGGATCGTTGCAGCATTCGCACCCTCAGCACACTGATTTTTGTTACCCCCAATCCACCTCCCTGGCACCTCCTCAGGGAAGCCCACCCTGATTCTACCAGGGAGAACGCTCATTCCAAAAACCACCAAAACATCCTAGGGGCACCCGGCTGGCTTAGTCAGTTGAGCATCTGACTCTTGGCCTCAGTTCAGGGCATGATCTCGCGGCCTTGTGGGTTCAAGCCCCACACGGGGCTCTGCACTGGCAGCCTGGAGCCTGCTTGGGATATTCTCTCTCTCTCTCTCTCTCTCTCTCTCTCTCTCTCTCTCTGCCCCTCCCCCGCTTGCACTGTCTCTGTCTCTCCCAAAAATAAACCTAAAAACTTTTTCTACTAACTACAACATTCGACACTTTCTATGTAATAGTTTATAAACCAACACCTCGGAGATCGTACTGTAAGTCACACGTAGTCACGTCATAGAGCCATACATCTCCTACGTTTATACGCTCACGTGGGCACCACACACACACGAATGTCCGTCTTCTTTAACCTCGTCCGTGTCCCGACCCCACTGACAGTTTCCGAAGAAATATGGCCCTGCTTGGTGACCTGGCCCACTGTCCGTGCCCGCCCCTTCCCGCTCTGGCCCCGGAGCACCGAAGGGACGGGTGGTTCCTGATTCCAGGGTTGGACTAAAGCCCCGGCCTGCCTCGCCACCCTCTCTGAAAACGAAGGTCTGGATTTTTCGGCCACTTGGGAAGAGCGGCTCTCTTTCTGGGCCCCAGAGGCACAGGTGGGCGGTGGGGTGGACAGAGCGACTTGTGGCGGCTCTCGGGCACCACTGGATTTCCAGGGTCCCCCTCTCTGGGTGTGTTTTTGCTTTTTCTCTCCTCCTGATGGAAAGCGAGCTCACCCGCTGCTCGCCAGGGCCACTGGTGCAGGTGCCCGCAGGGGGAGAAGGTGCCGCACGGCTTCCGGGCAGGGGGGGAAGGACTGACCCGGTGAGTGGGAGCCTCGTCCACGCCCGGGCAGAAAGGAGCCGTTGCCTGGGGACAGCGGGACTTTGGGGGCGGCCAAGAGACAGGGCCCGGGGTGGGGGGCCAGGGCAGCCAGAGCTCACAGGGTCCGAGTAGAAGCCCTGGCCTTTCAGTTGAGCCACTCGGGGCCAGAGGGCCTCCGCGCAAACTGCCAGACCGGACGAGGACGCACACGTGGTGCTCAGGGGCGCAGGAGTCCCTCCTGCCCGCACCCACGCTGCCCCAGGTCGGCCAGACTCACGGAGGCCCCGATCCAAGTCCAAGAACACACAACCCAGCCGCGTGCGTCTGCCCCCACGGCCAAAGCAGAGGGGGAAAGACCAACGAGCCGGAGGCGACAGGCTCCCGCCACCCAACCACACGCACATCTGCGGCCCCTGGGGCGGGGTGGCGCGGGCGGCAGGGGGAGGCCACCGGGGGGACCCGCCAAGCTATGCGCCACCCCTGGCGGCCGCCCTCACCAGACCCACGCCGGACACCCACGCCCGCCGCCCACTACTGAGCCCCCCGGGCCCACTGCGTCCTTCCAAGCCTCACCTCTCCGCCGCCGCTGTGTCTTCAACTCCCCCTCCTCCCGCGTCCTCACCCCCTCCTCCCACACGCTCACCTCCTCCTCTCGCGGCCTCGCCTCCTCCTTCCCCAGCTCCTGCCAGCATCCACCCGACACACGAAGCCACGAAGCCCCGGGGCACCTCCACATTGGGACTCGAGGTCGTGGACGCGGCCCGCACTGTCCCAAACGCGCCTCCCTGGCCGGCGTGACGGCGACCCAGCTCGCTCGGGTCAGCAGGCACGCGGAGACGGGGCGGGGCCGGGAACACGCATGCGCGGGGTGCGGCGGCCGCCCCCTGTCGGCCCTCGGGGGCAGTGCGGGTTGTCCAGCCGCCGGTCGAGGGCGGCCAGGGCGCCCGCTGGGTCCCTTACCGCGTTGAAAGTCACACTGAACGGAGCCACCCATCCCGCCTCTTAGCCAAAGATCGTTAAGGAACAATTCGTTGGAAACTGCACGGAATGAAATGAATGCAGCCGCAGACATGACTACGTACACCAAACGCACTCAAAACTGTCCGCAGATGAATTTCAGATGCAAATCTACAAAAACTCGAGAATAAATACAGAAGAAAATCTACATGACCTTGGGTTTGGTGATGAGCCTCCCACAAGACACCAAAAGACTACCCACCCCCGCACAAAATAGTAACGTGTACTTTTCAAAATGAAGCTTTCCATTCCGTGGAAGACCTTGTTCGGGGACCCGGAAGGCAAGACTGGGAGAAAATATTGGCAAAGCCCGTATCAACAAAGGGTCTGTAGTCAAAATATACGAAGAACCCTCGTAACTCAACAATAAGACAACCAGCCCCACTAAAAACAGGTAAAGGTCTGAACAGACACCTCAGCAGAGAAGACACATCATCACTAGTCACACAAACATAGCTCCAAGCCATGTTTCCTTAGGGAATTACAAACCAAAACCTCAGTGACCGACCTAGCACTGCACACCTTTCAGAATGGCTAAATCCCAAAACAATGCCGATGACGCTGCCACTCACTGGGGGGTGGGGCTCAGGGAGGCTTCTGTTAAACACAAAATTCAACGGGATAAATTTGAACATCTACTTGGTTTCCTTAAACGGTTCATCAATTCGGTGGCATCTCCATCCAGAATACAGAGGGGTTCTCCCTCAAATGCGTCGCTGAGGTCAGAGGGAGAGAGGCTACAACCCACAGAAACACCATTCGCAAGCTTCACTGTTTAAATTGTATATTTAGTTTTGTGAATTTTGGCGCATGCGTTGTAAATTTAATCCTACAAAATTTAGACGGGAACGGTTGGTCTTGTTTCTGTCTTTAACAGGTGGGAGCCCTCCGGAGGCACCTCTCCCTGGATTTGTCTCCCCGTGGGGGTAGCAAAGGAAAGGACGGCCTTGTGCACATCACCTTTGGTTCTCACAGGACCACCCAGGAGAGCTGATAGTTCCTTCCCATTTTATAGATGAAGAAAGCAAGGCTCAAAGAATGATTTAGCGGTTGGTGGGGAGGTTGAACCGGACCTGGCCTCTTGCCCCGGGCCACCCCACCCTGCCCCTGCTCTTCTGGGTCTCTGCTGACCTAACGGGGTCCTCCCCCTTCCACGTACTTGCCTCTGAATCCCACCCTTGGCCTGCTGCTGCTGCAGTGCGAGAGGAAGGAGCTAATTAGCAAAAGAAAGGTGCCTTGCTGACCCTGAGGTCGCATGCCCTGTCTTTCCTGTCCCCTGGGCCAGTTTAGATAAACAGAGGTGGTGCCTCACGTCTGCTGTAAACAACCTTCCACCCAACCCAAACCCCTTACCTGGCACATCTTCAAAACCCCCTTTGCCCCACGCCCATGAGTTAATGTTCCCGATTTCATTGTCTCTCTATGCACGCCCATCACTCTTATAAGCCTTTTGATCCTAATTAAAACGGAGCAAGGACCCTCACTCGGGGCTCTTGTCTCCTCCCGGACATTAGCCTCTCTCGAATTTTTAATCCTGCGTCCCGCTTTCTTGCTGGACAAGCGAGCACTCCAGACCCAGAGCCTACACAGAAGAGCCAGATCAGGATTCCAGCTAGAAGGGGTTCCAGGCATCCCGGAGGCACGGGCTGAGGTCCAGTCCAGGGGGCCACTCCAGCAGACCCCCACGCAGACAAGGCATGGGCTGTCCCTCAGAGGGACGGTCCCCCTCCCATGCTTCCATGGGATGTATGTGCATCTGGACAAGATGCTCGTGCTCAGCATAAACGAGGAAATCATCTATTTGACCCCAGAAAAGAATGTTTCCTTCCAAAAAGCCACTCATGCCACTGAAAAGATCGCCAATTCTGTAAGGAGTCCTCATGGATACGTGAAAACAAAAATTAGGCAGACCAGCTTTTTTTTTTTTTTTTTAAAGATAATTTATTTGCATTTCCACCTTCTGACAATCTGAGGTGCAATATAGAGACATATATTTTTTTTCTTCACAGGAAACAGTTTTGATTTTAGCACTGTTCTGAGACCTTCACCCTTGAAACGTCCTCAGCTTTAAAATACTGTTTGTAGGACATCACCCAATGGGACACAGAATTGCGTTAACTCTATCAGCGAGAACACCCATGGCACTGAACTCTACTTTGGGGCGACTGAAAGGCAAAGTCTGGGTGTGGCGGTGGCAAGT